TATATGTAAACAAAATTTATACTTATTATTATAATAACTTTAAAATATCTGATAATTTAATGTGCATATGTCTTATGATCACTTTTGTCTGCCAAATGTTTCTTTTTCAAATTTTTTTATTGGATCATCGAAACCGCTAAACCTGCCCCCCAGTTATTTATCCTGTATTTTTTTTAATGTTATTGGACGCTTTTTTCTTAAAAACTGAATTATCATTTTTGGCATTTTGGCCCGTATCTTCAAAACAGTTGGACCTGCCTTGACCAATAACTAATCAGCACGTCTCCTTATCAATAGGAATTGAATCAGAAATCGGTTGATCCGTGTTCTCGAAATCGGCTTGAATAATTAAAAAATATTAGATTTGTATTGATGGGAAAACGTGCTGATTAGCTTTTGGTACAGGCAATTACGAAAAATGGTAATTGAATTTGATATGTTTCTCTAAAACAGCTACGCAGCGCGATTGCTTTGCAAAAAGTTCATAATTTTCGAAAAATTTCAAAATACAAAAAATGTGTTTTAGAAGTTTTTTTTTCATTTTTCAATAAAATTTAAAACTCTTTATAAAATGTATTTTCAGTACGGGATGTTTCAGTAATTTGTCTTAAGACACAATGCCATGAGTCAATAGTTAAAATTTTTTTTCGACGCTATAAGCTTGGAAGTGCACAAATAAGAGGGCTCGAGAACTGAAGTAAATATTTTTCTTAAACTTTCAGCTTGTTTACGGATCTTTATATTAGCCAAATTGCCAAATTTGATAACTTATTAACCAATTTGATAATTTACGTTCGGAGAGGGAGGCAAGGCAAAATAATAAATTTTAGTTATCGTTTATTTCAACCCAAATTTCGCATTGCAATCGTATTATGTTTTGTTAATTATATTTTTTGAAATAAAAAATGTTGTTAAAAAAAGTTGATTATATTGTATAGAATTTTTTTCTCACTATCCAAATTTTGCCGCCCCCCAAAATTTGCCGCCCTGGGCAGTAGCCCCGATTGCCCCTAGTGTAAATCCAGCACTGTATATATATATACATATATATATTTATACATATATATAACACTAATTAATTATTATTTACCCAGGTGGCAACAATGACAACACCGGCGACAACCAGAAAGGCACCAGAAACGGAAACGGCGCAAACTGAAACGGAAACGACGCAAACTGAATCGGAAACGACGGAAACAACAAGTTGAAATGCACTGACAAATTTTTCATAGGGTAAAATTTCATAAAATTCATTAAATTAAAATCATCCTAATATTTAAGATTGCATTGCATCGTATTTATTTCTTCATTCTAACTGTATTAATCAATACTAATTGAGTAAATTGAAATTATTGTAAATTTAATAGAGTTAAATTTATTTAATAATGTTTTTAATTTTTAGTATACTATTTAATTAAGTGGTTCATTTTATTTATTTATTTATTTAATGTTAAAGTTAAAATTGTTGTAAAAATGATTTGTTATGAATATATAAATAATATATTAATGATAATAAATATAATTCTCAAGTTATTTATATATTTTGATATATATATATATATATATATATATATATATATATATAATTAATTATAAGTACTATCAATTTTAAAATAATTGACAAGAATATGTATAAAGAGTAAAATTGACTGAAATTCAATCAGAACATTTAATTTCAACCACTTTTTAATAATATTACCAAATAGTTATATATTTGTCACTTTAAACAAATATTGATAAATATAAGTAAATTTCACAAAGTTTAAATTTTCTGTTTGAATTTCGCGCTTTAAATTGTACAAGCACTGTCAGCTGTCATGCTGCTAACTTCAGTCACTTCAAATGTCAAAGAGATTTCTGTGAATTAGCATGTGGTCGGGTTAATTAAGAGTTTTTTTTAATTAAATCCTTGATTAGTTTTAATTAATTTATACATCAAAATGTGTAATTAATTTAGTAGATCAATTTGATATAATAAATTTATCGTGAAACGTTAATTAAAAGCCAAAAAAATGGATATGTGGGGAAGTGCTTGGGTGTATCTTGAATAGTTATAAGTATCTCTTTCAGGGCCTTCATTTTGAACCAATTTTATAATTAAACAATTTATTTACAGCGCCAATGTATCCTTTATTTATATATATGCAATTGTAAAATGTATAAGTTATATCATTTTGAATCAATTTTATAATTAAACATTCATTTACAGCGTCAATGTATCCTTTATTTATATATATGCCATTGTAAAATGTGCTTTTGTACGTTATATTTGAGTACTTCCACCACATATCTGTTTATTATCGAATTTTAAGTTCACAAAAGTCTCTAAGTAAGTTGTGTGTCGTGTATTGTGCAAAGACTTTACTCGGACAATTGCAACATGTCGAATAGACATGTAAAAGACAAAGTTATGTAGTGGTTCTAAAGTAGTGATTTTGTGTCGAGTACTTGAGATTTCTGGCAGATGCTCCAGAGGTGGTTCTTGTATTGGTTTTGTATTCGAGCAGTTGCTGTAGAGGATATAGCTCAATGTGAGTGCAAAGCATGTTTTATATAAAGTGAGTCAAAGAATATATTTCTGATTATATATACAGGCATTTATCGTAATATATTAGATGCACCTATAGTATTTTAAATGAATTCAATATTTAACTATTGATATATCCAATGCCATTTTATTAAATCAAATGCATTAAAACAACTATTTATACAAAACTACATATATCACATCTTTCAGATAAAAATTGAACATGTAATAACATTACATCAATATAACAATGAAAATTTAATAAATTAAATGAAAATTATACACATCATCTAGAATTATTTATTATTTTAAACATTTTCAATGAGGAAAAGGACAATTAAGATATATTTATTATGTACTCTTATATATAATGAATGAGTAAGATAATATTTAAATCAAAGCAGCGCCTGTATGTATTCTAGTGATATATTTGCTCGCTCATAAACTATTATTATTGTATACACATATATCTGCTGATAATATAGTTTCAATTATTTTTTGATAAACTTTACTATATTAATTTGTTGTTTTTAAAATTTTAGTAATGAATAATATGCAACTCATCATTTGTTCATTTAATTTAAGCATTATATGAATTAGCGATTTAAAATTAATTTGGCAGACATATGTGTAAAAGTTTTTGTTTATTAATTTAATTTGTTATGGGGAAAACACATTGATTGAATTCTTTTATTTATTGAAGCAAGTGCAATATATAAATATATTATATCAATATAAAATAATAGTTATAACACTTGTCTTATGTATCAAAGGCATTGAAATTAAATTCTTTTTTTTATTATAGTTCCATAAATAGTCAATCTGAATATTATGTTATCTTATAAATAAGACTATGAGCTGATTTTGAATGACTTTGTGTAGGTTCATTGAATTGAATTTATTGAGTTCTTTTACATTTAATTAGATGGTCCATTCTTTGATAATATTGTTGTTAATTTGCTATCCTGATGACTGCATCATCTTCAGCGAATGTTTCATCTGAATATCATTTGTGTATAGGATATACAGAAGGGGTCCTAGCATACACCCTTGAGGAACTCCTAAATTAATGGTATTTCAGATTGAACTCTAGTTCTGAAGAGTCTGTTTATCAGATAGCATCTCAACAGCAATAATATCTCACGTTAGCAAAGATTTTTTACTATTTTGTAAAGAAAAAGTTATTTATTACAAAATTATATTTTTTTTACAACACTTTGTGGATGTTGTTAGCTGGTATCATTATATTTTTAAAGAGATTTTTTACATTTTTACATGAATTTTAGGATTAAATTACTATTATCAAGAGTCATGTGTTTTCCCTGTGGCGATATTAACTGCATGCATATTCATTGTTATTGATGATAACTCTTTAATTAATACTGCATCAACTCGATAGATTTTTATATAAATACAATAGTCGAATAAGTTTGCTTTAAAAATTATTGAACTAATTATTTTACAATTGCTTTGGCTACATATTTATACTTTTTTTTATATGTTTAAGAGACATTTTCTCAATATTTATACTTTTGTTCTATTAATGTAATTATTTTCTTATTCGAGTTGATGTAGTTTGATTAAAGTTTTGAAGAGTTGGTTTGAATAAAACAAAACATTATCGTCATTTCATTCAATATTTAAATTTAAAGACTTTTTTATTTGATTTTGAAACGATTTAAAAGTAATGAGTGATTTTTAAAGTTTTTTCATTGCTAGTAAAAGTTCATAATTTTCAATTTTCATTTTTAAAGTTTTGTTGAGTTCAAATCAACTAAATTTGTTGTTGTCTCGATTAATTGTAAAGGTTTCACATGTTTTATCAAGTCGTATAAATAATTTTGATTCGATTAATAACATTTCATTTCATCGATTAATTAAATAATTCTCTCGAATAATTTTTTTTTCCAAGTCCAAATTTTCTGATTATAATTCTTTCGAATAATTTTTTTTTTCTAAGTCCTTTTAGATAATTTTTTTTTTCTAAGTCCTTTTAGATATTTTTTTTTTCTAAGTCCAAATTTTCTGAAACCTTTTCAATTAAGACAGACGAGTTATTTATGCATGCTGAATTATCCCAAAGCCAACATTCGAATGAATGAGGCTCTCGTTGAATATTTCACAACGAGAAAATTTTATTGGGGCAAAGTTAAAAATTTTAACGAAGTCCCAGTAATTTTTTCTTGTTGTGAAAATTTCAACGTGGACTTTACTTCATTCGAGTGTTGACTTTGGGAATTGGTGTGAGGGAACACTAAAAAACATAAAAAAGTTTCAACGCTGAACAGAAAAGAGAAAAATTGATCTGGGACTTAAGGGGTTTTTTTAGGCTCTCCACCTTCTCCTTCCTCCTCCTCCTCCCCCTTTTTTCTCTTTTTTTTTCGCTTTTTTCACATTTTTTTCCTTTTTTGGTGTTTTTTTCGCATGTTGTGATTTTTGGGTAGATTTCTGGGTTCGGCATGCATCTTCCGCAATGTGTCTCTCTCTGCGTGTAACCTCTCGCATCATGGACCTCAGGTTGGCCATCACTTGGTGTGTTCGTTTCAGGACCCTTTGCGCTCGCCAACAGCCATTCACCAGCACTGCTCCATTTTTCCTGCATCAGAGTTGCTCGTCGTCGCCTTCAGCTGGATTCGATCCTGCTCACCTTGTGCCTGCCTCCAGAGTGACTTCACCGAGTATGCGGTCCCTTGAACCACTCGGCTATTTAAGTTATTGATGATAAAAGTTATTTTCATTCTCATATTGTATTAATATTGAATTTTAATAAAGAATATGTCTCATACCACATATCTCTCTTATTCACCATCTGCCTCTACCCTTCTCTTTCCCCAGTTCTTCCTCTACCTTCGTCATTTCTCTCTTTATGTATCTCTCTTACAGTCAAGTGCGAACTTTGAGTTTTTCAGAAATATTCTAAGTGTCAAGGTCGAAATGCGCCACCTGAATTTAATATTTTGAACTAATATTTGACGATTCCGAAAAACTAGGATCCGAATTTTTCAGCCGAGTCTTTGGGATTCGATCCGAGGGACCTTTAGCCAGTCAACGCGACGTCGACGACTAAACGCTCTCGGCTATCCGATTAATACAGAAGACTAATTTTTTTGGAAACGCTTTTGTCTAATTCAGGAAGGACTGTTGAAGGTTGACAGCTCCAAGTGTTTTGTAAAGGCCTCTGTATCAGGCGCTCAACTCTAGTTATTTAAATTTAATCAATCCGCCATCTGAATTTATTTCTTTGAACTAACATTTGATCATTTTGAAAAACTTTAGACCAGTTATTTTTCATTAACACAGAATTACTTCTACTGGAATCGATCTGAAGAACATCCAACCACCACGATGACCACTTAACGCTCTTGGCTATTTAGTCGGTTGAGACGAAAGGTTTTTTATGGGAATGCCTTTTGTCTATTTCGAGGATTTAAAGATTTTTGAAAATTGAATATCGTTGTTACGCCTGGAACTTGCACTGTTCTATACATTCCAATGCAACTAGTTTATTATTATTGATCTGATTCGAACTACAGCACCATTGTCTGGATAACCGCTCTTGCTACTTAACGACCTCGGCTATTCTATCTAATCAGAAAAAAATTAATGGGAAAGTCTTTTGTCTAGTTTGAGGTACTGAACTTTATGAAAAATAAATGTTATTCTCTTTTCTCATCGTTTAGAAGATTCGAACTACACAGTGCATCATCTAACAAATGCTACTAAACGACCTTGTCCACTCAGTTGTTACACAAAACGTGTGTTTGAGTTCTCATAAGGACTTCTATTTTGTCTTTGATATCTTATTAATTTCCAACCACAACTCATCGTTTATTTTCTTACAGTTTCATTCAGTCTCCTGGAGCCCAAACAGTCTGATGTGAACAACTGGACTAAAACCACGCCATCAGGACTTGGATTCGAACTGGATCAGTCTGGACTTCTGAACTGGTGAAATTAGTGAAGTCCCTTAACCGTTTCGGCTACCGAGATGCAAAATGGCCGTCGACTATATGGGAGGACACTGAGAATGGATTTCTGGCAAATGTGG